TCTGTTTTGAATTGTACAAGCGATGTGCTCTACGTGTCACATATTTATATGTATGACTACTGTATAGTACTTATTATGTATATGTTGTGTGTAGCTACTATAATAATAATTAATGATATATATAAAATATTATTATTATATAGTTTAAACATAGTTCTTTGTGAAGGCCGCTGTCGCCACTGCAGCCACTGACTGTGCCTACTGCCACTGCTACCACTGCCATGTTAATATTCTCACTATTATTCAGTGCCGAGTAGACAGCGGGAGCATATGTAGTACCCACAACGCTCTGTTCCACTGAGCGTCAACGGCTTGGACGTATTTACGTATATTCTATACCTACATAGTACCTATGTCTCTTGGTACTGACGTATAATATGTGTATTATATGAATGTATATAATATGTTTCTGTGTGTGTGTGTGTGTGTGTGTGTGTGTGTTTGTATAGCGATGCTCTAGATGAATTCATCTCGCATGCCGCGTCCTTCACGACGCCGTACTACCTACATCCGAGGGTTGTGCATTGTTGTCGGATTTAGACGTGCATAATAAGTGTTTGATTGAAATGTTCTTCTTATGTTATATATAAGATAGTTGTGTGTTTTTGTTCGGATCGCGAGCGTAGGAGTTTCGTCTATACTAACATATATATGCCTATATATGTATTCATAATATATTTTATATACATAAACGTCATAACATGGATATACGTTCTAATACCTATGTAAAAAGGGATCTTTACAATATATACATAAATATATGTGTGCGCATATGTTTACTTTTTGTATTAAATTTATACAAGTACTATATATATTATATTTTATATATTTTAAACAAGTAGAGTAATAGTATTCTATCTTCTACAGTTCTGCAGTATAGCTTCCATTTTGATACATTTCGTGTTCAGATAGGTATAATATAAAGGCACAAATTGTTAATCAATATATTTGAAATAATCTCCATGCGTTTATTACGTTTACGTGGATAATTTTATTTGTATAAATATACAGCTATACCGACTCAGTGATTGATCTAGGAATGAACAAAGGGGTGGGCTTGATACAAAATACATGCACCTATAACACCTATATAGCCCTACATATAATAAACATATATAAATACAGGTTTAGTATCCGCATAATTTAAAAAGTGATAAATATCCCTATCCTAATCCCTATCCTAATCCCACTTCATTGGCAGTTATTGCACGACGTGACATACCTTTACTATAGGTATATATTTAAATTATTTCATAATTGCTTTAACAGTTTTATTTGTATTAATTGAAACAATAATAAATATTATATCATTTTTCAACAAATTATAGCTAGGTCGGCGCCTGGAACCGATCAAGAATATTGCAAATTAGGTTCAACAAACATTTCATATAATCATCATAACTTTATAAGTTTATTTCTGCCAACTCGTATAATCTCCCATATGTATAGAACGATGTGAATAATTTTGCAGGCAGGTGTATAAATGGCTTAAAATTAGTCTAAAAATATTATGAAATATTATGTCATTGAGTGTATTATAATGAATAGGTAACATACGTAATAGAGAAACGCCTTAAGTATCCGCAACTAAATTGTTTATATTGCAATAAAATAACTAAAAACGATTGACGAATTTGGTAAATCATTATTTTTTTTTAAATATCAAATTTTAATCTGTACCTATTTTGGGTATATTTGTATTGATAAAAGAACAACTATTATGAGTCATTTATTAAATTACATTTTAAATGTTTTTTACATTGAAACAAAAAATATATAATCAACATACATCAAAAAAATAGACAGTTCAAGATAGAAGCTAGATATAGTAGAGCTATATGGTCTTACCCTAAAGCTTAAATATTTGTATGATTAAATCATATGTATAAAAATTGAATAATATAAATATAAGGAGAAAATGAATCTCTACCATCATCACCATTTATATTTAAATTATTCTTTGAAAAAACCAAATTAATTTTGTTCAAAACTGATGTCCTCGAATATTCCATTTTTCCCTCTGTGTCTTGTAAGTTTTCCCCAATTATTGTAAGAAAAGTGCCTGGGTAGGTACTGGAATTTTTGATGCCTGAAATTACTAATACTAGATTACCTAAACGTGCTCCCGGAAACTGTAAAAAAAGACACATGATACATACCTATATGTTATATGTAATCTCCACACTCACGTTTTTATCTTTGTAAAAAAGAGATATATGTAATCACGTCCACGTGTTTTTATCTCGGTAAAAAAAGATAACTTCAGTATTCTATTTTATTCCCTATTTTTTTATCTTGTGTAGTAATAGTATTTAATCATTCATAAATATGAAAATTATTGTCGAAATGTAAAAAGAATTATTAACTTGGATCAAAACCCTTAATAATATTTGTCGTATCGTAAGTATTTATATACATAATAAGTAATATTATCTTACCAGCATCAGCTAAAATATTCGAATATCGCTTTCATGATTTATGTCGTGTACATGGAACAGAATAATATCTTTATTACATGTTTATCAATTATTTCTTGAGGATTGCAATATAACAACAATATTCATATACAATATATATATATAAAAAAAATTGAAAATGGAAAGTAATTACTGTGCATATAATATAGTTTACTGTTTTTTTTTAACTTAGAAATTATATATTTAACTTTGCAGTGAGCAGTTAAGTACTTGGTAATTATTATTCAAACATTTAATTTTTAATTTTTCAATTTATTTAATATTATACGTGAACTTGGTAATTAGAAATGGAGTGGACTGCTTGTTTACCTTTTTATTTACTAATATATCATAATATAAGTAAGACGCGCGGGCAACTGCAGTACAGCCTTCATGTGCGCTTTTGTATTGTGCATAATATATTATGTATAGCCATACAGATACTATTATTGCAGCTGCATTATTTGAGTGCTGCAGTTCATACGTAGATACCATAGGTACCACAGAAACAAAAAGTGGTATTTTTTTCTTCTACCAACAGTGCATGTTTTTTGTTTTAATTAAAAAAAAAACAACTTTTTTAAACGATTTGTGTTACCTTAATTTTTGGAATCGAGTTAGTTTCTAATGTTATTATATACAGATATTTTAGTTTTTCTGATTACAATTATACCTATACCGGCTATACCTATATAATATGAATATTATGATAGTATAATATATTACTACTGATAGAATACACATGAAGTTGTGTTCTTCATTCATGATGTATAGGTGTATATCGTTTATAACATAAAACACATACATCTATATAAATGTAATATAATATTTTACAGCAAACAAACAAATAACTATATTAGTACGTTTACCTATTTAATGTTGATGATCGTTTTAAAGTCAGTTATTTGTTTCAACTTTGTTATCCTTCCTTTTAACATGAAATAATATGATGAGTGGTTTTTATAATTTAGTTAATATACATGGTGTAAGAATTGTGCCTATAGTGCTGCAATAGTGAAATAGAATAAAACATTGCAATTATTATCCATATTGGAATCATATAATATGATATATAGATATCACTGTATCAGGTATACCTATATGTTTTACTACATTTACGTGTAAATGTATTTTAATAAAATCTAAAAATTATACATAATCATAGGTAGGTAAAATATATTATTATATAATAGACTTGAATAATGCATCTACGATATACCTACCTATACAAATAATATATTGAAGTCTTGAATAAAGTGTATTCCTCTAACAATATACAACTATAATATATATAGTTATAGTAGCCGATGGTTTATCCATGAGTTCCAAACTGTATACCCACCTATATATTATATATATATAGGAACAGTACTACAGCATATATATTATGATAGAATCGATGGATTATTTATTGTGATATCAGATATGCAGTAAAAATAATTATTAAATAATAAGTATTATAATAAATAATAATAATAATATGTCTCTATAAACCTAAATGAATGTATAAGAAATATATAGGTTATAAATACATATATTATGTATATTACCAATATTATACAGATATTTATGAGATGCGTAAAAAATATATGTATATTTATTATTTATGGGTATACCAATAAGTCGCCACTCGCCAAGTAAGAATTTACATTTTTAACCCGTATGAAAATTATATATTATAATATTAAGATATCTGCGGTGGAAAAACGTCGTGGGTTACAGCCTATAAATAATTAAAGATATATGAATAGGTTATAAATAGGTTATAAATAAACATATACACATATACGTATAGATTAATATAAATTTGCTATCTATTGACTATAATAGGCACATATACTGCAGCGTATAGTCTTAAATACCTATATTAATTTTTACCTACTCGCATGTATACACACAACACACATATTTTTTATAATATCACTGCAGTACGTCGGTATACCTACTTATATATTACAAGTGATATTTATTCACAAAAGTAGTAACTTGAAACAAAATACAAATCCTATAAACAACTAAACAAGGTATACATATAGGTATAATCTCCATATACATTATAATCAATTATTATTGTTATAATATATGAGAACTGGACGAAGGTTGCTCTAAAACTTTTTTTCTATCCCACATAATAATAGGTATATCTATTATTTCAGCGTGTGTCTGCAGTTAAATGTTTTATGTATACAACAATGTGCGCATGATTAGCTTATGAGCTACAACGAAACACGTGTTTATGAGCGAGCTAACATCAACCTACATTTTAAATTACAATTAATATGAATAGAAGTCAATTTTTTTTTCTACTATCATTGAAACAACGTTATCACCTTCGTTTTTCTACAGCAGTGAAATACTGTCATACCTTGTACCTATACCTAGATAAATATATAATATTAACAATACATCTATGAATTAATTTAAATATATACCTACCCATAGCTGGTACCTTTTATGTTTAATATTTATACCATCTTGTATTATAGTTTTGTATCGACTATATTATATAATAATATTATGTTATATAACCTTATATATAAATACCTTCTTTATATTATAATGTTGAGCTGTTGCTGTTATCTTAAATTTGAATCTACAGTATAATTCTATGACGATCGAACGAGTTTTTGATTCATATATAGGTATAGGCAAGTACACGTACTGGCTACTGCCAGCCAGCATTCGCAGTACCTATTATAATAGCCATAACAATATAACATTATAATTTTGTGTATTAATATTATTATTATTTATGTTATTATAATATGATTATTATTATTTATTATCATTATTAGTACCTTATAAGTTATAAGTTATGATGGATACCACGAACAACACCCAGCGCGTGGTCGTAACGGAATTTCGTTTCCACGGAAAAGTGGTATAATGACCGCTGCAGTACACCCGCTAAAAACGGTTTAATAATAATAATAATAATAATATTAATGATTTAAAAAACAATACGTGTTGCTGCAGTGTTTACTGCGGTGTTAGTACCTATAATAGGTGTATTATTGTGTATATTTTTTTTTATACAGTAATGTCCTAAGGTGTACCGCGTATAAATGTAAAATAATAATTCGTAATGTACGGTATGCGGTATACGGTATACAGGTATACCTACTATATTATACCTACCACCTACCTAAAACTCGACCGACGACGACAATATTGTTATTATTATTATTATTTCTGGGCGTCGTCGCGAACGGCGCGTCGTCGGCGGTGACACACGACGCCCCGCCCATCCGGCGTCCAGCGACAAATGACATCGGTCGTACGGGGCCGTCCGGCCGCTGTGTGGGGACACTGCCACCGCCACCGCCGCAGCAGCAGCAGCGACACTGCGGCTGCACTGACACACCGTCCGTCGCCGCCGCATCGCATCGTCTCGTCGCACTCCGCACGGCCCACACGACGTCGCCGCCGTCGTCGTCGTCCGCGTTTTTGTGTGTGTGTGTGAGTGTCAGCAACCAGCCGCCACCGTGAGCCGCGCGCAGCAGTCACACACCGCTTCAGTACGCGGTCCGCCGTCTGTTGTGTTCGGCCGCACGTCGTTACAACGCGTCGTCGTCGTTGCCGTCGCCACCGCCGCCGCCGCCGCCGCTTGTTTGTCCGTTGTCGCGTTATTATTCCTCTGCAGTGCGTTACCTCCTCGCCGGAAACACGAAACAATAATTCGCGTCCTTCGCCGTGTATAATATTAATTCGTTATTTGTCAAACGAAAATTATTGTGTGGTGTTCGAGGAAAATACAATTTTTGGATTCGTCGTCAAATCGATCATTGGATTTAAAAAAAAAAATTGTTCGTGTTTCACTTGCGCGTGCGTTTTTTTCCGTCGACTTGTCGCTTGTTGCACGTATCCTATACCCACCTACCCATACTAATGCGAATCGTTCGACGCCGACCACCCGCACCAGTGCTGCAGGACGGTTAAATATATATTGCAAAAAAAAAGTTGTAAATCCGTTTCCGAATTTTTGTCCGAGTGATATTCCACTCGAATTCCGCGTGCGTGTTCCGATTTCGACTGTTTGATGGTTATACACGGAGCCGCCACGGGAATCGCTCCAGCCGACATTCATCGGACCACTGAATCGTTGTACAATACCGGTTAGTAAAAAAATATTGGCCTGTGCTTTACCTATATAATATTATATTTATAGGCATGATAGGTACGATCTATATACTGTAGGAGTGATAAAGTGTTATATACATATTATTTATAATATATTAGAATACTGGTAGGTACATCATATATAGATTTCGCGTTATAAGCCGGTATACCTACGTTTTAACATATACCTATACATATACCTAATAATATATACCTATTATTGTATTACATTTATTTATTATAATTTTATGATTTTGATTTATTATAATTTTATTATATCGCGACTGTATACCTACTTTATAATAACGCATATATATAATATATGTGTTTATGTTTTGACGAAGAACGCCCGACGGCTAATTGGGCTCATTTCAATACCTGTATATTGGTGTACAACTATCGGCCACCGGTAATTACTAATTACCCATTATAATATACCTGCACATGCCTAGTATATTATAAAACAAGCAATACTTTATGTTCAAATATTAATATAATATGCAGACGAAACAGTGTTTCGATTTCCCGCCGTATAAATATGTAGGTACCTAAATATTATTAGTATAGGTAATATAATATATAAACGCATAGTATTATAATCACTGTATAATATATTTCCCTATACATAGGAATATAATTAGGAAGATGGTATAGGTACATATAGAGCTAGAATTTACAATAATAAGTACCAAGGTTTATATAGTTACACTACGCGTTTTTCGGCTGTAGTCGACATGTGATTTTTCGAACTTGTATTTCGAACTTAGACTCCAAACACTGTATCACCTCGATCTATAAACCTAAAACTACTAGTATCTATATATTTTTAAGAAAATACAGTTGGATCAGTCGCACTAAAATTCATATGACAAAAATAAATCAATCACATTCTAAGTCCATTAATCCATACTCACCCATCTTTTGAAATATTATAAACTGAACTAAAATAGTGAAATTATTTATGCCTTTTTTCCAATAGTTTTTTTTCCACGCCGACTGCATAAATTTATTTTTTTCATTTATTTATGGATACCCATCATAATATATTATATAATATTATTAGACATTTCGTTTATACTTTATATCAACATCATGTTTTAAAAATATATCTAACATATATATCTAAGCGTAACAATTTAATATAAAATTTAACGAGTGCTTGGTATAATTCCGGTGATATACATAAAAACAGACTTTTATTTAAATATGTATACGTCAACCTATTATAGGTTTTTAATACGAACGTGTTATTACCAAAATTGTCATTAGTATAAAGAGGTTTAAATTTTTATTTGTAATATATATGCCTATAGCCATGTGTATAAGTACAAAATTAATTCATGACATCATACTTTAAAATCGATTCAATTTTATATTTGAACAATAATAGAATTGATTATGTGACTACCTATATGTAAATAAAAATACTAATATATAGAAAGCTATTGTATCAAAAACACATTTTATATAACTATATATACCTATACTATATAGATACGTATAATAGTAGATTCCGATACAATAATACATACTCTACCTATAGGTATACTATTCTTTTTATTGCCAATTTCATCAATTCTAAATCATCAAATTAAAATATTATATTATGTAGACTGTAGTGATACCCATATTGATTAAATATTTAATGTTGTATTCAATAAAATTATTAATAAAATCCTTATGTTCTTAAAGGTTAAAAAAAAGTACAAAAAATTTTTGTTATTACACTTTAAATATACATTTTAACAAAATCTACATAAAAATATAATATTTATAGCCCATATATAAAAAAAAAAAAAATTATTCTTAGAATTATATATTACATTTAGATATCTACCGTCTATATATAGGTAGATGAATGGTATTATATGATTATGTATCTATAAATACAACCATTTTTTGTTATTTGAAATTTACAAATGTATTTGTCAACATATTATATAACACATAGTATACACTATACATACCATAATGTCACTGTTATTCTGCTATAAATAATTTTTAGATTTAAATTTGTTTTTAAATATATTTATCTATATATTATATAATATGTGATCACACGCTCGCATACTTTAACACCTCTCATTTCCGATGTAACAATACAAAATTTTGTTTAAAGTTATTAATAATTGAACCCATAAAGAAAACATTGAACCCAAAGGTACTAGAAACTCATGGCGTTATGTCGCACGTCCTATCGGTACTTATATTACTAAAAAATAGTTTAAAGGGTATATTGTACTTAAATATTTTTATAATATTATAATTCGAAAAATGAAATTCAAGATTCAAGATCTCTAACATAGATCACAACGAAGCACAACTTCGAAGAAAGTTATATCAAAAAATCATACATTCAAGTCTAGAAAAAAATAATTTTATAGTCAAACAATGCATGGATTTTATTTCCATAATATCGAAGAATTTTCAAAAATCATAACATTTAAAATTCGAATATTTAAATTAAGGTTTATACCTGTAATTAATTTATAATAAAACATAGAAAGACGAAGTCATTCAATGACTATGATAAAAGACGAATATTTTGGAAAAACGATAAGAATATACTTTTAAATTATACTTGAATTATATAGGTAGGTAATATTTACGCTTATATGTGTATATTAGGTACGTAGTAATTATAAAGTGCCTATACATCTATTATTATAGTATAACTTTAAAATAAAAAAAATCTTCTCTTGTGGCGGATACATAATATGGACTCCGCGGAGAGCTTATATATTATATAAAAATATAATATCATCGAATACAAGAATATAAAAAAGGGGAGGCCGGCGTTGTCGCGCGCAATGACAGTGAGGCCGGTGCGCGCGCTGCTCTACCTCCGCCGCCACCTCAGTCGCCTCCGGTGTCGCACGATTGTCACGCGACTACGGCTGTGGGCGGATCCCGCCGGCGTGGTCCGGATGCGCCGCGAGCGTCCCCCGTCGGACGGGCGGGTCCGGTGTCGCGTTGTCGCGGCGTCCGGGGGAGACGTCGAACGAGCGGTCCGGGACGCGACGAGTGCGCGAGGGGGGGCTGGACGGTTGCGAGCGACGAGAGCGCGCGCGCATGCGAATCGCTCGCGGGGACGCGGCGGCGGCGTCGGAGACATACCTGGCGCGCGCGGACAGTATCCCGGTCGGGCGACACTTCGGTAACCGTCTTGTCGCGTGACGCTCGTGTGCAGGAGAACAGCGCCGCCGACAACGAACAGAACGCCGCTGCACGCGTCGCGCACTCTGCGAAAACGAATCGCGCCGTCGCCGCCGCTTTCCGCGTGCGTCTGTTCCGTGTCGCTGTCTTCACCCGCCACCGCGACAACCGCCCTCTACACAATATTATTATATTTATAAACGCACACGCACGCGCACACCCGCTTATATATTATATATATAGATATTCACCTATAACGCGGAAACGTGAGACCCGTTCGCTATCGTCGTTACGCTATAGTGCCGCCGCCCGGCGTTCGATCGATTGACCCACTTTGCCGGACAACGCCTCCGTCGTCGTCGTCGTCGACGTCGTATTATAGTCGTCACCACCGCCCCCCCCCCCTTTTACGGGCCCGCAGCTATCAACCCGTGGGGGGCATATCAAGCGGGGGACGGGGGTGGGGCGCACGCCCTGCGCCACCCGCTTCATGGACCAACTGCAGCAGTGGCACCACCAGCAGCAGCAGCAGCAGCAGCGGCGGCCACGGCCGTCGTACCACTTCGGTGGCGGTGAGTATGGATTTTTCGGCGCCATCATTGCTGTCGCACGTCGTCTTTCCTGCGTATATCAGACGGAGATGACAATTAATATTGTCATCCCGCCCACCCCCCTCCCCTTTCGATCACCCATAATTTATTAAAACCCACACGTATTACATACCCATCGCGCATATGTCGTTTAATATAAGTACCCATCATCCACACCCGACGACGAATACGACAATTGTGTTTACATTTTTTTAATTTGATATATATTTTTTTTACCCCGTATTCTCTATATAGTTTAGGTACCTATATACCTATCTGGGGGATGACTACGGGCAACCGGAGCCGGTTATTACAACAATGGTATATACTCATTGTTTACGAAAGACGACAGCTGCCCCGTCAAAATTAAGAGGGTAATATCATACATGATACATATAATATGTATTGTTATTATATATACTTAAATATGTATATAGCTGGTATATGATGTGTGCCTATGTATAGATGCTCTGAAAACTAGACATTATCTAATATTGACACGGCGATTTTATGTACATGACTCGAGCGCGAAGGTCGCGTTCGTTTTTAACGTCGTTTTTCATTATTCATTTCGACCATTTATACATATATGTAGTTGCACGGGTATATTATCTATATAGAATTTTAGGTATATATATGTTTAAGAGGAACCTACTACGTTATAACTAATAATACTCATACATCTTGAACGCGCCTTCGGCGTTTCGTTTTTAAAAAATATTATATTAGATATAGGGTAATCCCCCCCTGCGCCACCGAGAACCTAGGTATACGCGTTTATCAAATTAAATACGTGTCGATTATCTGCGTTTATCGTCGTGCGGGACGTGTTATTCAACGGTCGCACACCGTAACGTATTATTATAATTTATATTATATTATGTACCTAACTGATACTGCTGGTTCATAATATACATTTTAAATTCAATACAAATTATTATTAAAAAGTTCATATACATAGTTTTAATCATTAATATCTTACTTTTATTTACTATAAAATATTACCTATATGTAAATGGACACATTGTGTATAGGTACCTTCAAATATAACTGAAACCTATATTTATAAGTTATAGCGGTACATGTATAATAATATATGATATATAAAACGATATTTTGTTTTAATTTCGATCTTTTACCAACAATATATTTATAAACAGTGTAGATGGTAATGCTTTGCATAGACATACCTAAATAATATAGCCCATATATTTATAGGTAGGTACAACATAAACCGTAAACCGTTTATAAGTATTTATCCATGACGGCCATAACCCAACTCAAGTGACAAGTATATACCTACTTCTACCTATATATATAATAAATATCTATTAAATAGGTACAATAGAGGGTATACATATGTATTACGCTTTGTAGATTGATGAATGTTATTGAAAAAAATATTGCAGTGATTCAACTGGGCGCATACGAATGTACTGTTACATTATTATATTATTCATTACTGTATTTTGAATGACTGCAAATGTTTTTATTTCCACGGTCGATTGCACTTATGTCTATCACTAATCTACAAACGACTATATGCGAGTACGATTTGCAAATCTCATCTGCAATGTTGATTTTCGATATTTTCTTACTCAAAAAATAACGGATTAAATAAAATATATATCATTATTAGGACCCCTTATCTATTTATGCCAGCTCTTTATACTTCCAAAAATAATCTTTTTTGCTCTACAAACTAACATTTAAATAATTTATGAAAAGTTTTGAACTTTTAAGCCATTATAAACAAAATATATAAACACAGATTTATTTTTGATATAATATTTTTGTAAATAATATACGCTGCATTTTATTAGGTATAATGATTGAAAAATATATAGGTGCCTACCTATATATCACCTTAATGCAATGAGACTTAATTTATTCTATAAAATTATCAAATAATGACTGCAGCTAGTAAATTTTACTATATATAATAGTCTACAGATATAATACACACACATAATGTATATCTAAATATTTATATGGGATAATGCAGTGAATATTATTTAGTTAATTTTCTTTAAATAACATCTTTGAGTATACATTATTATATTATTTATATATATATATATATACATTATACATCTTTATATAATATATTTTTATTATTATATTTGTTCGATATAAATTATGTAGCTATATGAATGGTTATTTTTTTTATCGTGTAATGGTGACTAACAACGTATCTAAACTTATTTAGGTATACCCCATATGAAAAAAAAAAACAGGAAAATAAATCGGTGCAGATGTTATTCGTGGTCGACCGTGGAGTACCTACCATAATAATGAGATAATAGGACGATTAATTGGAAAACGATTTAATATTAGAGAGACAACTGGCGATTTAGACAGCCGGACTTATAAATAATAATAGTAATAATAATAATAATAATTTGTAGTTTGTGTTGATTAAGGCCCCGCGAAAAGGCGCTGATGTGGATAAGACTACTACAATAAAACTAATATATACACTTGCACGTGGAACATTATATGTGTTATAAATAAAATATATTAATTAAATAAATATAAAATATATTATAATGGATCCTGAAAAACGTCTTAAAAATAAATGATAGTAAACGTTTGTACAATTGTACCTACTATATAAAAGTACATATTTTAATCACAAACGATACTTATAAATTATATAAGCTATATATATCATCGGTCATTTTTTTTATGTGATTGTAAAACTAGGTATATAAAATGTAAATTAAATTCCATTTTCATATGTACTTTACATGCTTATAAAAATATCATTTATATTTGTATATATACCTATAATATAAGTAAACCTACACCTATATATTGGTATAAGCTATATCAATCATCGATCGACGATCGTGTAATCGATATTTTTTATAAATACATATAATATATTATTATAGGAATTAGGAAGATAGGATAGCTGTTTGTCGGACCATTTTCGTATACACACATTCCGTAGTGTGTGATCGTGTCTGCCGCTATAATGCGTACCTTTATTAAATCGTATTATATAATATGCGTTATTATTAGTTTATTATAAGTTAAAATATATATAATGTATAGTCGTATACAGGACATAGAGCTCGTTAATTGAGACGAGACTTTTATGCGTGTACGGGTATAATATAAAGTATTCTATAGATACACGTAAATATGAAATTATCTATATATACATAGCTATTTAAGTACCATATAATATATACATGTATATATTTAGTGAGTGGCGTATAAATAATAGCACTCACCGCAACCCCAGGGGTTCTGCGATTCAGGTGATTTGGATGGGTTGGAGGGGGGGCGCTAAAAGCTTTGGAAATGTATTTATAGTTTCATGTTTTTATTTTATTTAAATATTAAGGTATACGAATCGTTTGACTAACTGCAGCAGTTTTACAAATAAAGCATTTAATTATTGTAGATACCTACATTATTTATAGGTAAATTAGGAAGGTACCTATTATATATTTAATAAATTCAGACTTATTATATCATGTGATTTATAATCCAGTGTTCTAATCGTTTTGAAAATCCTTATGGACTATGGTGTAATTCCTAGAATGTCCATCGCACATTTTGTAAATTAAAAATCATTATAAAATGCATCTAAAAAAACTATCGATACTTTAAATTGTTAAATAATTACATTGTACGTACAATGAAAATCATATTATTTTATTATGGTATATACACCAATTGTAAAATTGTAGAGAAAACACAGTTTTTTATATCAAAAATATAAATACTACATAATATTACCAATACACGCGAGTTAACTTGGATTAATGGTACCTACATTGATACGTCGTTTTATTAAAATTATTTCATACATGTTTACTTTAAGTAACTGCAATTTTAACATAATGTATTATAATATATAATATCTTACATATAATAAATAGTATAGGTATAGGTGGGGTTTAAGTATAACAATAACGTAGGTAGGTATACACCGATATTTACACACACGCCTATATTATATACGATTACATTGTTACGGTATAAGATACATATTTGTGTGTTTGTGTGAGTGTTTTTATTTATTTATCTTTTTATATATATATTTCATCTCACCGTTGTCGTTCTTGTTGTACATAGGTAATGGCAGAGTGATCGGCGCCCCGCTACGCATGCGCCGTCCAGAAGACCAATCGCCGAGCGCCGCTAGTGCCGGACTCATGATGGAGGTGGTAAGACATTCTATATATATTGGCTTGTAGTACATATATGTATAATATATATATTTCGGGGACCCCCTCACCTTCAACGCACTGGACCCCGTCTGACAGTATACAAATGTATAATCCTAACTATAACACACACATAAAATAAAACATATATAGCTATTAGATACCACGCCATTAGAGTTGTTGTAAGTAGAGTGATGTAGTTTGTGTAATAGGATAAAGGCTGAGGTAGCATTTGTTATTGGAGTTGACCCAAACGCTTTTATTTTGTATAAATATATTTTATTAGTAATATTTTGAGGTCTTATTCGTCTACAATCTTTTGATAAAGCACTTTCTGCATGTACCTGTATTATCTATTTTAGTAATTCAAAACGAACAGAGGCATAAATTATATTTCCGTTCCCTCTTAAGATATTTATATAATATTAATTATGTTGTATTCTTCAAAGTTTCCTTATGTAGGATATTATTTATACGGTGACGGGAGGATTCTGCAGCAGAGAGTGAAGGAATAACTGCATATTATACACTCTTCAATTTTTGTGAAAAAACTGCTTTTGAATTAATTAAATATTAGCCTTTATATATATAGCTAGGTATATAGAGTATAGATATAACCATGTATAACTCAACATAGAAATGTAATATTATTTTCTGGTTTGATAGAATTTAAAATTGTATACTCATCTAAACAAACAATCATAGGTACATCGTTTCCTACAGTATTTTCAAAATTCTATTTCTACACATAGGTATAGCACATCCAAATATTCCTCAAAATATTATCATGTAATAGCATGTACCTATATAGTTTAGAATTGTTCGTGTATAAAAGCGCTGGTCTCCACGGAGGGTCCGAATATTGTGCCACACACAGGAGGTACTTATTATTACCCAAATACATATAATACATCTGCAGCTATGATGCATACGTCTCTGTGTACCTACATTTAATTATGTGCATAATGCATAATATTGTATATTATATGATGTACATATGTACTTGTAAAGTATAGAGATTATACTACACTGCCACCACCGTACTGTATAATACACTTAGATACGCATCCAAATACGGCAATTTCGTGTCGAATTATAAAATATATATTTTTTATCGCCGTAGGTACCACAATTACTATAAACACACACGTACCTATATAGCTATAAAGTGTACGGTTAATTTTACGATAAACATAATATATAGGTACACTCGGTGGTTTAGGTATATAATTGTACGTTGGGGTGGAATTATACTTACCGTCGATAAATTTTTCGTTTCCACTTCTATTGTGTATAACTACTCTAAATGGATTGTTTGTTATCAAATCTATGATCGAATAAAATACATAAAAATAATAATACTACAGCCGTAATTCGTGCGTGCCACGAGGTAGGTACCTATGTACATAGGTGCAATTAATTATTATACTATATTATATATAGGTAGATAAACATTATATGCATAGCAAACATATTTTTCAATTTAAATTTCGTAAATTAGTGGTAAATATTGTACATCTTAATATTATATTATATACCCATATAACATTAAACTGTAGGATTCGCGCGATATATTGGCTGGTTAGGTATTCATATATCAAGTATCAACTATAATTTTCAGTTCACGTGTATATAATATGATATTAGGACATAGGTATACTTATAGGTTTAGACATAATTTGATGTGTTTTAATTAGCAATCATTTTATGGAATATATAGATATAACTAGGTACATAATTCTTCCGAAACAAGAAAACTTACCAACCAAATAGCATTTACATATATATTATACATATATAGATACATAGGACGTATAGTTACACCTTGTAGTATAGATACTTCAAGTCTCATAGGGGATAGAAATATATTCAGCTTATGTGTTTTTCGAGTTAAATACTTCAAATATAACTTATATAAACACTTCAGGGGCTAAGAAAAAACTTCCAGTTAAGAAGGTTTTTAAGTTAATGTGAATCAACTTTAGTGGGTATTGGTACCTACCTATAAAATGCTTATTACACGCCACAAAAATTATGGTTTGATGAAAAGTGGAAGGAACATGTTATCCCTGCACTGGCTCTATGCAATAGATATACCGTTAGACGCATTTGAGGTGCGTATATATCTATGAGTATAGGTACCTATTATAATGGCAATCATGTTATCACGTTTCCCGGCGGGTGCTAAAATATATTCGTCATTTGTCTACTGAAGTGTACTGCACTATGATGACTACATAGGTATACTTGCATATAAACTTGGGGATGAAATTCGCTGTGTATTAATGGACTCTACTCAAAGGGGGATGAAATTCTTCGTATATATAATGGAGTCTATATCCGGTGTCGTGGGCGTCGTCTTCGTCACTTTACCAGTATACATATTATACATGTATATATAGTTGTGTAGTCGTGTACGCTTTACCTATGTATACAATAATAATATTATATAGTAGTTAACCGCCGTGCGACGATCGATGCGCTTCGCTCGGATATTCGGCGCTGAGCGGCGGCGGCGGCGTCGGTGACGGTAATGGGCGCCGGTCACGACATCGCGTCCGCACGACAACCCGTCTAAACGCGTGTACTCTCAAACACACACACACACACACACACACACACACACACACACACACACACACACACCACTACAGCGCTTTGCCGTATATAATATAATATTATACCTAACGTCGAGTTAGAAAAAAAACGTCATACACATACACACACACACACACACACTGCAGCAGTGTCGTCGACGAGTCACGAATACACCCATGTTCCTCTGTGTATAATACATATATATACATAATATAGTAGGAAAAAACAAATTCCCAAATCCTTTACACGCCGCGCGAGAAGATTACACCAGTCGTATCGTCGGCTGTTCAACGGGGGAGGCGAACTGCACACACACACACATGCATGAAAAACCGGTCGTCCGTCCTCTGTGTCACGATCTTTTTTTATTTTTTTTTTATTCTTTCTTTTTGTACAAATTAAACGTTTCTCCCAGCGACGGTGTAATTACACATGAGGGAGGAGGCGGTCTCTCGAGGGGTATGTCCGTAAATGGTTTTTTTTTTTATTAACTCCTAAAATTATCTCGGTATTTTATTATTATTATCATTATAATTTTCCAGCCAAGCTCCCCCCACCGCCGACGTATATAATATGTAATGTAGTAATATGTAATGTCGTGTTCGAAACGACGACGACGACGCCGCCGCCGCCCGAAGAATTAGTTTTTATATTGTATAATAATATATATAGAGAGAGACACGCACACGCACCCAACAACCGTGTAATTTCGCCACCTCCCACTAATCAAATCAATGCAATTTGAATGCATACAACCATGGTCCTCATATTGTTGTACATTCTTTATCTAGATATACAATACACAATCTACTATAGTGTGTCTCTTTCTCCCGTATTCCAATGAACTGCAGTCTGCAACTATGGGGTATTATATGTATATATATTTCCGTATACGACTATTATGTTGTCTCATGTGTATATACTATATATACATATATATATATATATGTGTGTATACAAACTTTGTGAGTTCTCTACGTGTAAAACAGTTTGTTTTTATTATTTTGATACCCTTAAATTAAAGTGTGCCGCAAACGACGTTGTCTTTCCCGAATATTATCCGCCGCACTGCACTCTGCTGCTGGACGATGACGGTGTATTGTGTGGATACTGCACGCCACGATGTAAGACCTGTATAACTAATATAATAAATACCAGCCTGGCATATACCCATCATAAAGCGACGACTGCGACGGTGTACATATAATACCTATGTATAATAATATAATAGCTCTCCTTTTCACGGATCTCCACAAAAAATAATAATAATAATAATAATAAAAATGAATCCAAAAAACCTCCATTGTCTTTATTGTACCTATATAAGTATATAATAATAACAATCCTACGACGAACGATTTAATTTAGTTTTTTTTTCTCAAATTATAGGCGCGCATTACATTTTTATTTTCCAGTGAGCCTACCTACAATTTACTTCGTATTATATATGTACACAATAAGCACAGACATTCGTTATTTTCAAAAAATAATGTATAATATGAAACGACCGCTTTCCTTTAAACTGCGACCCTTTAATATACTTATGATGACCGTTTAAAACAAAATTGTATAAAATAATATGTATTTATATTCATACACCTATATATAGTTATACACATACAACCACAGCCCGACAGCCAACTATATCGTCGCCGCTGTTAGGCATTATATTATTATTATTAAATAATATATTATAGTCGCCGCCGTCGTGTTTACACGCGTCCTCGTGGAATACCCGCTGCGTTAACGCGGTATTATCCTTTCTTTCCACTGGTTTTTTATTTATTTATTATTATTATTTTATTTTGTCAAACAATAGGCAGATGATAACAAATTGTCAGTATCACATTGTGTGTGTGACAGAATAGCCTATACTTATATACGTATGCATAATAATAATAACATATATAGACATCATCGTTGTCGATATTCAAACGCACAGCACACTGTGTATTATAGTTGTTGTTTTCACACTTATAAGTTCGACGTAAACCTGATACTATACGTGTATGGTACGTATAATGTATATTGTATAGTATTGTATAGATCATCACGTGGAGGCCGAAAAATCGATGCGTATAAAACCGATGACAGATTATTTTTTTTTGTCACAGAAATATTTTCAATTCGGTCACATGGTTGACCTTGCTATAATTCTCTTTTTTCCGTCTTTTTGACACTCGTGAGTTGCAGTCGTACCTGCTACCTGCAACAGCATTACATGTTTATATACGTACAATTTTTTTCAATTGAAAATATCGTGACCAAGGTCGTGTTTTATTGTTATTTTTTTTTTACACGAAATGCGTTTGCCGGACGTTGAATTTCCTTTTGGACGCATTTCCATAGCATCTACCCAAATATATGTATAGTTAGGTATAGATAAATGGATATATGTG